AATGAGAAAACTAACATTGTTACAAAGAACTGATGTAGTAGATCAAAATATATAACACAAAATTAGAAATAAATTGATAAATAATAATTTACAAAGCCAAGAGGCAGATTTGAATGGAAATAAAGGGATAAGTCTTTGAAGAAGGAAATATTTTAAAACAATTTATAACATTGTGTTTGGTCATCAAATTAGGAGGAGTTGAGCAAAATAAAAAAAAAAAAATATAAACCAGTAAAGAAATAATTCTGTTATACACTTGATCTTCTACAGCCACATTTACTATAATTTATAGCACTGAGGTTAACTGGTCCATGTGTAAAAGAAAGAGAAAAAAAAAAGTCTATTTTTATTAATTTTTGTAGATTAGTATCTGTTAAACCTTTTTTTCTACCAATTGATATTTGTCAGAATTGAAAAATATTGGTGTGGAGTACCATGTTCATAATATAAATACAGTGTCAAATCAAACCCCAACTTTTTAATGGATTACCTGTAGTTTGTGTGTGTTTTTTGAAACTGTACTCATGTCATTGATAACTACTGATATTATCTTTTTTTTTTCTTTTCCAAATTCTGGATTTTCCTAATTTTTTTTTTTTTTTAAACAGATTAGCAAAAACTTTTTTTAAAAGTTAGGGATCAATTATGACAAATGTTGTGATTAAAGTTCTACTGAATGCTAATCTACAAAATTTAAAATATTTTTTTTTTTTTTATGAGCAGACAAGTTAAGCTCTGTGAGGTTTGTGATCATAGCTCTCCAAAACTTCCTGTCCTTTGTAAGGTTCATCTATTTGCTATCTCTCCTAATCCCTGTTTTGCCATCCAATTACACAAGGTCATCATTCACTGCATTAAATTGTCTCTTCCTTCAACATGTCCTGTGTGTGTCAAATTCTCCAAGCTCTCTTTCCTCATTATGTGTGCTAGAAATTTCAATTGTCTCTTTCGGATTCTAAGTATGTGCCCTCTCAGTAGAGCCTAATTTACATAGGAATGTATATATTGGTTAGTTATTTATACATACAAAAAAGCTAGAATAAAAATTGCTTTTTTCTGCTAAGTATTCACCAAAATGACTTAGTAAGAATAACTTTGAAAGAGAATTATTATAAGTTCTTAATATACCAATTTGATTCACTACTGAATTTGGACCCCCGCTTTTTTTTTTTTTTTTACTGAAATATGATTATGAATTAACTTTTCAAGTGGAAGATGAGGTGAAAAACTAGATTATAAATTGCTTATGTAAATAATCCTGTATTAATCATTTCTCTAAAACTGATAGAATTAGAAATAAACTTAGAAATTTAACTCCAATAAAAAACATGATTTTTTAACGTTTCACCAATGATGCAATACATTGTCACAATTGTTAGGATTGTTATTTGTATCCACAACAAAAGAGAGTTAAATTAAATATTAAGGCAAACATTATCGTGATAACAAAAAATAGCAAAGCAATAAGTATTTAATAAGCTTTAAGGTTGAAATTAAAAAGTTAAGTGATATTGGTGTATAATTCATGTGAGGAAAAAAAAAATTAATATTGTAACAAAAACAGGTATTATAATACTATATGTAATTTCATGATATTTTTTGACATTAATAATAAAGTTTTATTCTGAGCTGTTACTGGTGTATATAAAAACAGTAAAATCAAATATAATAGCATTAAGCAATCAGAAAGAAAGAAAAAAAAAACAGCAAGTTAATATGGTTAGATTTGATCAGCCAACCATAAAGCTTTCCATTTTAATTGTCATAGAATTAGGGTCTGAATAGTTGCAATGAATTTAAAATGAAATTAAGATTAGGTATCCCAAACTAAAAATTTGATACTTTTATTATTTATATATATATATATATATATATATATATATATATATATATATATATATATATATATATATGCATGTTTCATTAAAAACGACAGACAAGGTACTATGGCTAAGCTTTTTATTTAATTTTTCTTGTGTTCTGACAAGAGCTTTCTTTTCTGGACAAAGAGTGTGTAAGAACTGTCCAAATGTTTTATATTTCCGAACGCTTTTGACTATACCAACGGCTTCCCTAACTACCTTATAGAACACCAAATTAGACTATTCCTCCCCAAAGCAAGAAATAATGATAGTGAACACACAGCCAAAAATCATATACACATTTATTACAAAAACCAAATGCATATTAATTACAAACAAGATGAATCTTCTCTAAGACATATATTATAAAGAAATCTACTACTCCAATTGATCTGAATAAAAAATCAAATTTATTATCTATTATAAAAAATTTAAGACAGCCAACCTTATCCTCAAAAATAACAACACACCAACTAAGTCAAAATTACAAAGAACCAACATTATCTATGAGTTCAAATGCCCCTTAAGGAACTGTGTTCCTGATCAAACTGGACTCATAAATAATTACATTGGTTACACAATCACATGGTTATCCAGACGTCTTACGTTACACCTATCTGATCACAGCCCCATTAGAATACATTTAAACACACAGAGATTTACCCGATTCCATTAGAAACATACTATTAGAAAACACAAATATATTAACTGCATCCACCTGCAAAAAAAGACTAAAAATAATGGAAGCTTTAATAATAAAAAAGAAAAAGGCAACTCTTAATAATATTAACTACGAACAAAGCCACAATGTGCTAACCGTATTCAGAAATTAAAAACATCCCCACCGTACACTAATACATACACATAACACACACACACACACACTCAATTAAGCTGAAAAATCGAATCATCCTTGATAATGGCTAAAGGTATAGCTGAAAGTGCTTGGAAATATAAAACATTTGGACAGTTCTTACACACCCTTTGTCCAGAAAAGAAAGCTCTTGTCAGAACACAAGAAAAATTAAATAAAAAGCTTAACCGTAGTAGCTTGTCTGTTGTTTTTAATGAAACATGCATAAAGGGAGGATTGCTGCCTAAATATACAACTATATATATTTTTGAAACATGGTTAGAACTGTGTAGTGGAAAAAAACATATTTTAAATCAATTAATTTATAATATTAATGCTCTGTAAATTTACATTGAGCACTACTTTGTAAAAATAAAAATATCTATAAGAACACTGGATTATATATCTTACTGTTCTTTTCTTTTTTTTTATATATATATATATATATATATATATATATATATATATATATATATATATATATTTATATATATAAAAAAATTTGGATTACAGGCATAGAGATCTTGGCAAACTATAAAAAAATGGTACCAAATTTATCTTGGGAGCTCAACTAGCAACAAAGATATGACCATCTATATTTCTAAGATGAGGTAATGTAATTAATTACATTGTTCAGACTGTTGTCCTCATCTTTGTCATGTGATCATGATAATAAAGACCAGTTTCTTTTGTAAAAGAATAATGTAAATAAAGCTATGACAATTCAAAGTTCATAAACACAAAAACAATTGTACAAAAGGCTAATTTTAACAATGTGTAACTGAAGATGCATGTTTCAAACAAGTTAAAAATTAAATGTAATGTTATATAGATATTCATGAAGTAAAAGAAAAATAATACTAATCAATAATTCTTAGATCAAACCAGCCTAAACATTGGGAAAATTTTGTTTTTAAAAACCAGGTCATAAACAGGACAAAGACAGGCAAATTTCAGCTGATCATATAAGTTTCATTTCAAAGGTTAAGGCCTTGCAACTTTTTGTGATGATTCTTAGCACAACAAAGATGAAGCTAATTTTTTTTTTTTAGTAGTACCTCAATATAAAAAAAGAAAAAAATCCTGTCAGTTATTCCTAAATTTTACCAATTTACTTTGATACAAAACACAAATACTGGATTTTTAAATTTATTTCCATTTGTCATCAAGAATGGTGATTTGGTCAATGACTATGTTAATATTTTCAAAATGTCTTAAAAACATAAAACCATATTTAAATAGCTTAAAAGTTTTAGGCTGTTATCTTTCAAATAAACACAAAATTTGACTTCAAAGAAGACATTTAAATTATTCAAAATCAGTTTTAAAGTTTTCTTCAATAAGTTTGTAGCAATATTTTATAATTTATAAATGACCATCAATAAATAATTGCATTATACAATTTTAAAATGAATCATTAAAGAAAATATAAGAAAAAGATTTTAAGTATAATAAAACTCATTAATAAAACAAGCCTGATTTTAAAAAAAGGGGGGGGTTCAGCTAGATGTTCATTCAGTCAGCACTACAAATTTCAATGCATCAGACCTGACTGTTTTGCACAAAATGAACACAGTATACCCTCTTTTTGATTTGCATACATCTTGAGTTGCATGGTTGCAGATATATAAAACCATTATTAAAGACAAGTTTTTCAAATGTTATATTTCTCTTGTAATTCTTTGTAAAAGTTAACTTGCCCACCAAATTGATGAGAGTCCTTTTTCTTTATAAGTTTATTTTTATGTGTAGGTAGACAACTTGGAATGTATTTGAAAAAAAAAGGAAACACCACTATGAAATAGTCAACTTTGAAAATACAGAAAAATAACTTGATTAGTGATAGAATTTAAAAAGACGTGGAATAAAAACTAATCATACATGAAAAAGAATTGTATCTTTAGAAAGAGAAAAAGATTAAATGTTTACATACTAACTTTATCAAAATAAAAATTAATGAGATATCAGCAGTTGAAATGGAAGAAAATTTTACTACTTTGACATGTGTTCACACTGTAAACTAGAGCAGTTTGGGATACCTATTAAGACCAAAGAAATAAAAAAGAGTAAAAAAAAATGGATCAATGATAAGAGATTTATATTATCTTTAATGCCATTTTATTGACCATATGACACTGAATGATTGTAAGCATTTGACAATGAAAGGGTCAATACATGAGAATATTACTTATGTTTTATATACAAGTTATGAGAACTTAAACAGATTTGTTAGGAAGGACATGCAATTAATCAGGTTAATGAGTCTTGTTAAAAAAGAGTCTTACCTGGTGTGACATGTGGAGATGGTGTTGATATGCTAGACATCTGTGAATAAGTAGAAAAAGATGGTGAACTTGAGCTATGAGTGAGAGCAGTTGGTGACTTGCCCACATAATCTGAGATACTGGCACTTGATTCCTGGAAGAAAATAAGGAAAAATGTTCTAGAAGAAGATAATGAAGAAAATGTTCTAACTCATAAAGAGTTATTAAAACTGATTTGTGATTAGTTTGTTAGAAGTATTTTTTCACCTATTAATAAAAGGTTATTTAGATATTAACACATTGTAAGTGGATATTGAAGTTAAGACGAAGTGGTGGCAGTCTGTTTCATGCTTAAATGCAGTCTTAAGAAGATTACACTTGAGCATGAAACAAATTGTTACCACTGGGTGCTGAACTCAATGTCCAAATTTGTATTTACATACACTAACCCTGATATTGAGCAATCCATAAATATAGCATACCCTTAAATATATTTTTTTTATATATATATATATATATATATATATATATATATATATATATATTAGTAGCTTAAGAAAAGTTTTTAGCCAGGAGAAATAAACTACATCCAATTTCAAAATTTAATTGCATAATTCCTATTCAACATAAATAAACAATATTTGGAACTAGTATGGAGTAGGTCCTCCATTTGCTAGTTTCAGTGCTTGTATTTGATTTTTCATGGATTTGATAAAGTTATGAACAGTCGTCTGAGCCATATTTTGCCACTCCTTTAGCAATGTTTCTTTAAGGGTTGCCACTGACATGACTTTGGTTACATGCTCTCAAAGTCTTTGGTCAGGGTGCTCCCAAATGTGCTTTATTGGATTCATGTCAGCACTTTGGACTGTCCATGGTAGTGACTTGATTCCTTGTAATTCTTTCCAGGCCTTTGCTACTTTGCTAATATGACAGGGCACTCCATCTTCTTGCAAAAGGTAGACATTCTTATCAATCTGAGTGGTTTCAAATAGTGGGAATAATACTTTCTTTAATATTTGACAGTATTTTGGACCATTCAATCACTCATCAACAAGAATCAGTTCAGATTTCCTTCCATACCAGACAGCGCCCCACACCATTACTACAATCCTTCCTTACAATGCCTGCAGACATTCAGTGTTTCAAGTCTCTTTCTGATTTCTCCAAACATAAACCTATCTTGAATTCGAATATTGGCAGAATTTACTTTCATCTGACCAAATTACAGACTACCAAAATTCATAATCTTTGCTCTCGAATTCTCTTGCCAAGTCCATACGTCTGTTCCTGTTAACCTCTGAAATCAAGGGTTTCTTTCTTGCAACTTTTCTTTTATAGCCTACTTCTTTCAGAGTCTTTCTCAGCACATATGGTGACATTTCCATACGGTTGGTGACATCTTTGATGCTCTGATGACGGTTTCTGATGACTTCCCTATTCAGCGCCCTTTTCGTTCACTTAGACATGATGCTTGGTCTACCTGAACGTTGTTCCACATGACAATGGCCTTCTTCATTAAATTTCTTGACAATATTATTAACCATTTGATGAGTAACCTGGAAAAACCTAGCCACTTTCTCTATTTGACTTGCCACACTGATGCCATCCTATTATTTACCCTTGTTGAAATTCAATAATATTCCTTACTTCCACAAACTTTCATTGCAAGATATAAGTCAACTATAGTTCATAGATGAGAGTAGCTTGATACTAAGATGGTATTGTCTGAAAAAAGAAAAAAAAAGAAAAAAAAGAGACGTTATTAAACAAGCCAAAACTTATCATAGCCCACTGTGTGTGTGTATATATATATATATATATATATATATATATATATATATATACATACATACACACATATATATATATATATATTAGTTTTATAGATACAAATATTGAATAAATGCTTTGTTTATAATAAAACAGTATTAACAACATTTACATTCTGAACCTAAATCTGTAAATTTATAGGATACAGGCTTCTGTATCCTATAAAATTTCTCAGACAGTTTGATTCCTGTCAGAGGAGACATATTTTCTATAAAATTTCTCAGACATTCAGGTTGGTAAATGTTGTTAATACTGTTTATTATAAACGGAGTTAATCAAATATTTTTAGCTATAAAAATAACATATAAGCAACAAATATATATATATATAAAGCATTACTCTTCAAGTATGAATTTTCTCTGAGCCACAGGTGCATTCCATATAGAGAAAAATGTTAAAATTCCTTTCTTTCTGTCATGCAACAATGGCCTAGGGTAAGGATATCTGACTGCTATTGGATCGGTTGGGTTTTGACCACAGCTTGACACAATCGGATGTCTAGCCACACTGAGGAGCTGTGATACGGTAAAAGAGTGTGTGCGTGTGTGTGTGTATATATTTTTAAAACCCTTTATTACTTTTGCTAAGAACTATTCATCACCTCATAGATATTTATATAAATCAGTTGTATTTTTTATTTATACTGATAAATATGTATTAGAGAAAAATTAGTGTCATGGCTTAAAGTATTAAATCTTATGAAGTAGACAAAATGAGAAATAAAAATCATGATTTACAAAAATACAATTATGTTAATACTGTGTTCAGTAAAATAAAATTTCATAAATCAATACATGAATACACTGTTCATGTTTATACAGGCCAAGTATATAAAGGCTGATCAACAAGTATCAGGATTGTTGCTGTGGTAATATGGTGCTAAAGTACACAGAGTGAAGCTGCTTGGCACCAGATTGAGTTTAAACTGTCACACATGCACACTAAGTTATATCATTCTCACTCATTCCGTTGTTTATAACAGTGCTTGGAAGGAAAGTGTGTAGAGTGTGGTGAGTTCACCACACCACAGAGGTTTTACCATTCACCATGGCTAGTGCAGGAGTTTTTGGTCAAGCACAACTACTATATTGTCCAGATCTCATTCTTTACATTTTTTTACTCTTCAAAATCAAATCCCATTTGAAAGGAACAAGATTTCAAGACACCAAGGAAATCCAACAGAATGCGATGAGGCAGCTGCTCGCTGTACCCCCAAAAGGAGTTCCATGAATGCTTTCATCAATGGAAATGATACTGGATAAGGTATGTGGCTTCAGAAGGTGACTACTTTGAAGGAGATTAAATGCTGAATTGATATGTGTTGTAGTTTTCTTTCTATAACACCAGTTCAGATATTTTTTAATCAGACCTCATATAATGGCATTCTTTGCTGAATTTGGCTAATATATATCCCCAATGTGCTTTAGGCTATCTCAGCCACCAAATGCTTCAATGATCAAGCAAAACTAAATTGTGCCTTAGAAACAAGTATTTCTCAAACTCGCAAAACATTCATATTTACTTGGTTTCATATCCTAATGTAAACAAAGAAATTTTAAAGAAAGATTTTTTTATTAATCTGACAGATTTTATTACTTCAACATTTTTAGTGGATATCCATATTTGAATAGGTGCTCATTTATTTATTAAAGAGTATATTCATTTATTTGTTTTTGTCTACTGGCCTGAATATTTAAGAAATTTATGCACTCTCCAGCAGGATTTGAACCTGCGACCCCCTTTGTCAGGAGAAGCAGTTGTTAGATCTAATGCATTTTAGACCATCTCAGTAACAAAAGTGCATTGATGATCAAGCAAAGTTGAATAGCACCTTAACATTTCAGTAATAAAGTCTGTGAGGCCCATACAAAAATGGAAAACAATAGTAGAAGCACCCAAACCTCTAGGCCAGTTTCCATTGTGGATGTCTCTGGACTCTACAGTTACCTTCAAGTTCAACCCTGCACATAGATGTCAGTGTTGAACCCGACACACCACCACCATATCTGAGGGCAGGACTAAACTTAATCATTAGAAAGATTTCATTCTAACAGCCATATTATGAGAGAGAGAAAGAGTGTGTGTTCAGTGTCAGTGGGTACACTGTCTCCTGCACTGATTACTACTTAAATCAAACAAAATAAATATATTGACATTCCTAGATTTCAGTCCAAAGTGAACAAAGATACCAGCCATTCAAACATGACCAGGGCTTCAAATTCTACGGAAGAATACCATTACACTAGAATAAAATGTTAAGAAATGTCTTTTTGGTTGTTTTCTTTTACTTATTTTCAATGTGCACCAAATGCAGTTACATTCCATGAACATATGCCATGATGCCATTATGATATTTGATATTATTATTGTTGTTGTTTATGCATACAAAAAGTGTTGTTAATTTTGTTGAAATGATATCAGTCTTTATAGCAGTACTTTTTAAACATGATCAGTACATTTCACGAATACCGAAATACATAAATATATAATGTCTGGTAACTGAGAACAAATTAGAGAAATGTAAAACACATACAAGAAACTACATGCCTGTATAAGGTAGTTCTCATGTTGGGCATCATGTCTGCAATAATGGCCTTCAATGAGCCCTTGGTATTATGTGACCATTTGTTGCTAGGAAGTAACATATTAGAAATAACATGAACATTGCCAGCTAATCCTAATTCACATAATAGGATGCATGGTCCTTTTGGAACACACATCACAAGTAGCGTCTATACAGAACCACATCCATGATTCTCTTCTGCTCAGTATTTAGTCTTGGTCAAAGTTTTTCTCATTGAGATGTCTGTGTTTAATCAGCAAATGGTTTCATCAGATTACATGTTTCTTGTAGGTCCTATTAGACATTAACTGCTCTCTTCTCATTCAAATAAAGCTTGTACTTTAGGTCCTCATACAGCATACAAATAATAGTGGATTCCACGACACTGATCTGCTTGGGATGATCTTCCTCAATTTACTGGGATTGATATCTGGACTTGTTGGAGGAATTCAATCAGTCCAAAAGCAGTTGTTCAGTTTTAATGTTTCTTTCCATTGGTCATGAATGGCATATCTCTAACAGAGATATTCAGCTTGTTTGTAATCTTTAACACAAAAAAAATCCAGGTCATTTTCAAGAAACTGGCTATCTCCAAATCAATATGGCCAGCAGATAATTCCATGAATATAGCTTATCTTTTCATTTTCTGTTTTAGATTAAGAGCTATGTTAATGATATCAATATGACTGAAAGAGATATGATAGTTACATAAATAAAGATATTAAAAGAACATTCAGAACAAAAAAGAGGGAGTAACA